TCCACAGATTATTTTTTTTAATCTGTGGATTGAAGCATCCAGGGCTTGAAAATATTTTAAGAATATATAAATTCCCAAAAGCAAATCTTCATTTTGTTATTTTATATAAGAGTCACCGTTTTACTATCCATTGAATTTGATGGGACTTGAACATCCATGGATTTTGGTGTCCTGGAACCAAATCCCAGCAGATACCGAGGGCTCCCACTGTGCAATTAAAGACTTACAAAAGTAACAATTAAACTGGAATCAAACCATTACAATATTAAAGCAAAAATATATTTTTAAAAAAATATGTTTCTTGACGTTGTTCTTCCAATGCAGCAGAAATCGACAATGCAAGAAGCAGCAGGAGGACTAGTTTACTCAAACACCCATATGTTGCTATTGACAAACAGAATGGCAGGATGCTTCTCTCCAATATTTATTAAACTAATAACAACTGTTCGGAGGAAACAAGACAGAAGGCCTTCAGTTCTTTTTGGAACGGCGGGTGGAAGCAGGCCAGACATGCCCAAGATCTCAGCCCAAAATTTCCCCATTTGCCGTCGAAAATTCTGGAATTGGTTGCCATAAATTGACTGGCAACTTGTAGGCACCAAACTCCCATTTCATCTTGGAAGCTAAGCAGGGTCAGTCCTGGTTAGTACTTGGAGGGGAGACAAACAACAAATCCCAGGTGCTGTAGGCTCTGTTTCAGAGGAAGGAACTGGCAAAACCACCTCTGAGGACTCCTTGCCTGACAAAACCCTACAAAATCCATAGGGTCGCCATAAGTCAAGAGGTAATTTGGAGACACATAGAAACAAACATGCACACAAAGCACCAGATTCCATCTGATCTTGGTAGCTAAGCAGGCTCAGCCCTGGTTAGTCCTTGGATGGGAGACCGCCAAGGAAGACCAGGTGCTGGAGGCTCTCTTTCAGAAGAAGGAACTGTCCAAACCACCTCTGAAGATTCCTTACCTTCAAAAACTCTATGAAATTCTTGGGGTTGCCCTAAGTTAACAGGTGAATGGAAGGCGCAGAGACAAATATAGACTTAGAATTCTCTGCCAGAGAGATCTAGTGCCTCCCCACCTACAAATCCCAGGATTCCCTAGGATGCAGCCATGACAGTTAAAGCGGAATCATAGTGCTATAATTGTGTAGTGCGAACAGGGTGGCCAGGCATCCTCCTTTTCCAGGGCATGTCATTCATTTCAACCTTCTGTCCAGGAAATGGAACTTAATGGTTTTGAGCCCGACTAGGAAGCACGGATTGATATTCCTGTTAGTGTTTTGAGCTTTTCTTTGGTCCTGTCCTCCATTTTTTCTTGAAAGCCCTCCATTCTGCGGTGCATCGTCCTCCTTTGCAGTCACCCTTTATTCCAGATTGCTCCGAACCAACGGTCCTTCGATCTCTTTTGACTTTCCCAAATGCAACCAGGTTGACACCAGCATCTCCTCCTCCTCCTCCTTGCAAGCAAAGCTTGGACCCGAACGGCGCCAAGTTTGCTGTAGAGATAAGAATGTACAATATTTTAGGAAGGAAACCTCTTCCAGAATCCCTGGAAGGCATTTGGCTGCTGGAAACTGCCAAGGAAAGGCAATAGCATCTGCTCTCACTTTAGCAGTTGATATTCTGAGTTTGGAGATTTGGTCTCACAATGAAAAAGCCTGAGGGGAAGGCGATGGAGTTTCTCAGCATCACTAAAGCCACCCCCCAAAATAAAATAAATGCAAGGGGAGGCAGCATGGAATATTATAGAAAACTTGAAAGGACCCGCTTCTGAGAGAGAGAGGCTGGAAAACAGCTTTGCAACACCAAACGTATTGGCAAATCTTTGACAAAAACATTAAAGTCTCTCCTTCTCTTTCCCAAACTGCTGGAGCAATTATTAAATATGAGTAACTTTAATGGTGGAATGCAACCCAGCCTTTTTAATGTTTTCTGTTCATTTAATGCATTGTGAGAAA